GAAGACGTGGATTAAAATATGAGTTTCTACTTTTAGTTAGAATTTTGAAAATGGCTGCATGTGTTTACCGTCTCAAAGGGCGCCAGACCTCAAACTCAACATACCGCATTATAAAAGTAGCATTGAGTTCCAAATGTAAATTAAAATAAATTTGTCGCCATGGTTTCGGTTCGCAGATGACGCAAATTTTGGGGATTTCACGTTGTTGTTTTGCAAAGGACAGTTAAGAAATGTACAAAGTTTTAAAATGCACGTGCTGGGCTGTTGTTCTGCCAATTAGATCTATTGTTTTTCCACATTCTTATTGCCATCGCCGTCGTGGTTTGCTTAAATTCCCCAATACAACAGTGGTGAGACTGCTTCCCTTTACTTGTAGGACCTACATTCAGTTTTCCAAACTTGGCGTCACAAGAGGGTACATCTTTTTGTTGCTCATAAAGTTTGTCCAATTTCCTCACCTCCACAGAAATGAACCCTCAAATTGTAGTTTGATGGGAAAACACTAATCAAACATTAATCTTGGGTCTATTTGGTTTGTCTAGGTTGCCTATTTTGTTAAAATTAATTCCAAGATGTAGTGAATTAGAATTTGACCTTTACTTGTGGTGACACTATTTGTTTTTGGACTTACATTTTCTCTAGTATATCTAAGAACATCACCAGAGAAATGTATGGAAAGGATAAAGAAAAGGAGTAGAGATGAAGAAAACTCAGTATCAATGGTATGTTTTAATAGCAGATCCACTAATGAGAGACTTTCGAAACACATTACTGATTTTTTTGTGCTATTTCCTATGTGACAGCAATATGCAGTTAAAAGTTAAAAGAGGATTAAATCTTTAAATAATAAAATAGTACAGAACCAGAGCACATTTCTTTATGCAGTATTTTCACTGTTGCCTGCATTTCATGCATGCACACTTAGAATGGAAAAAAGAGTACCTATAAACTGTACTGTACAAATTTGTAGTCCAGTATTATTTTAGTGTGTTAGCCTATTCTTTAGTACAATTAACCATCAACACTGGAAAAAACAAAACAAAAAGCTAGCTCTTACATACCGTAGTAGTGAGAATGAGACAGATGTGTCAAGCTTATGTGCATATATGCAAAATTTAGACTTGCATATTTCTATTTATACACACTTGCCTATGAATTTATGTATGTTTTATGTGTACTTTTTTGTTACTATATTTCTGAGTGGTACTTTACATGTAGGGAACTAGACTACAGTCATAGACTTGATTTTCCCTTCTTACAGGAACTTTTGAATTCATTACATGAAAGATATGAAGAATGGCTGGTGAAAAAGAACAAATTCTCCCTTCCTGCTCCAGTAGTAGTAAGTTCTTTAAAATTAATTTACAATCTGGTGTTGAATGTATCATTTCTGTGTGGTGGAACCAACCATCTTATAGGGGCTGGGACATTACATAAATCTGTACCATAATGAGGACAGCATTTTACGAGTAAATTTTCCAATACTTGGTTTTTTTCCCTTTTAAATTTGAGAGTATTACCGCACAGTCACTGGGTGCTGAAAAATATACCTTGTCCTCACTAACACTTATTCTTTGTTTAGCAAATTACTCATCATATATGGACACCCAGTTGTATACTAGATAATTTTCAGTACATCACAATAATTGTTTTTTTTTTTGTTTTTTTTTTTGTACAAGTCTTGTGGAAAACTCTTAGGCTCTGTCAATTGTGCTTGAATCTGGATGAAGATGTCCAGGTTTAAACTTGATCATTAAGTTATTGTGCTCTTTGGAAAGACCACTTTACCCTGACTCATAGATAGCTAGGTTCAAGTGAAAAGAAACAAGCTATCATCTTAAGCCAACCAAATTCTGGTCCAGGAGGAGTCAACATATACCTTGTTGACATGTGATCTATAAACTGGCAATCTTATGCTGGTGGTTATTGTTAAGTTAAATGCAAAATTCTTGTTTTTCTCTATTTTAGGTGGTAGATGGCAATAAAAGCTTAAGTGATATGTTCCAGTTTTATGAAACAAATTCTCAGCTCCTTTTGGGTATTAATGCCTCAAAAACAGAATAACATCCAAAATGAATGCTTCAGAAAGTCTTATTAGAAGTTGCCCATGTGTATTTGGATATCATTGCATTTTGTAAATATTTTTTGCTAAGCATCTACATATGTACAAATGTAAAATCAGTACTTTCCAAGCCTTTCAGTAGTTTCTGCAACCTGTAGTGAGACAATTTTCTTTCATGGCAAGATGGGAGCATGGGCCATCTCATCATTTATGTACCTAAGAGAAGAGGGGTGAAAGCAGCCTATAGTTGAATCAGAAAATTCATTTTTATCCCTTTTAACCTTCAAACATCTTACATCGTGGTAACTTTTTTCTACTGATCAGTTGTATAAGAGAAGGCTACTACATAAATATTTATGAAAACAGCAGTTTTTTAAGTCATATTTTGTAACCAGTAATGCCATAACTATTTAAAACCATGGAATTTGTAAAGTTCTGTCACATTTTTATAAATAAATGTTTTGTTTATGAATTTTGGCAAATAAAATTTGATTTAAAATCATAATGAACGGTAGATTTCTTACAATATCTTTTTCCATCTTGCTTTGTTTGCAAAAAGCCATGTACATCAGATTATGTCAATTTTTACAGTGCAAAATTGAAGGATATTTTTAGGGCCATTTCTATTTTCTGGTGGTAATAGGAACAGGTCGACACAAAGAGAGTGTTAAATGAATATTATTGGAGTACAAAGATTGAAAATTATCTGGAAGCTATCACAGGGAGTGTTCAGTGTTTTGGGGGCAATGGTTTAATTCTAATGCATGGCTGGGCATCTGTTACATCCACAAAATCACAGTTATCTCTGCTGGTTCCTGCAATTTAAACTTTTTCAAATGGCCGTAGAAACTGGGTCGAGCTTTTATTGTTCCAGACTCCTCGCGTCCACTATATTTTTTCGTTCCCGCCACAATTTGATTTTTTTCTTCGACTGCCGCCATATTTCTTCTCGCTTTGCATTTTGTTATTTGGAAGGATTTGGAGGTAAGTAAGCCAAACCAATCATGTCTGTACGCATTCTACAGTTAAAAGATTGATTGTTTCAGAGAAATCGGCTGCGCTTATCTGTTAAAGTTCTGAAAAAGCGTGACTTTCAGTTGTTTGTTTTGGACAAGTTGGCCGACTTGGAGGCAATATTATCGCCATCACAGTTGAATGTTAGAGCTAGCGTATGGAATTTGAAGGCCATGAGAATGACATCATTTTTATTTTCACACGCGAACAATGTATATTCGAGGTAATCCTCTCCAAAACAACCTGAATTTACTTGCAAGTCCGTTCCTCTTAGAGATATAAACGTTTGTATTTTCTGGCGCTTCGCTTAGATTTCTTCAAAGATGCTTAGTTATACGGATTCTCTGGTATCAGAGAGTGCGATGGAGGAAGATCTGCGAGAGCGAAATATTACGGTACGATTTTACGTTTTTTTTACCATTGTATTTCTATCCTAAATACACGATAGTAGCGGGTTAACTTAAAGAAACCGTATGCATGATGAAATGTAATGTATCAAGTTCTTTTCCCTCTCTTGAACTACATTTACTTAAAACTCTAACTTATTCTGTAGGTTGCAGTAGAAGGCAATATAGGAAGTGGAAAAACGACTCTTCTGAATCATTTTAGACAGCATCCCGATGTGGAGGTTAGTGTAAATCTACCTCAAGTTAATCAATTACATGTACATCTAATCGTGCGTTTCCTGCAGATTTATCCCCCAAATTTCATTAGATAAATTATAATTATATTGTTGGTTTAGTATGAAGTTTGAGGATTAAAGGTAAATCTCAAAAATGATATATAACATTATCCCACCGGGAAATCTTACCATATGAAACTTACAGCTGGTGAATACTATTCCTGTCACATTTAATCGTGACTTTCATGGTTTCAACACAAGATCGAGAAATGACGTTCGAAAATCCAGTGCCACAAGAAGATGGAGTCATTGGTCGTCAGTTAACTTTAGCGCAGATATATGGAATGGTTTAGACATCTCACTAAGAAATGCAAACTCACTGCCTGCCTTCAAACGTGGCCTGTCCAAATTTAATTTTGAATTTTAATTGACTTCTGCTAGTATTTAGTTAATACTTTGTGATTAGTATTTTTAATTAGTTCTTAGATTTAGCTTTAGTTATTTGTTGCTATTTGCATTTTATCTTTGTATTAGTATTTAACTTAAGAGGACCCTCCTGTAAACCACTTGTGTGACGTTGGCATTCTCATTAAAGATTGAAAAAAAAAAAAGAAAAGTTTCTGAAATATCAAAAACTGATTAATTTTATAAATGAAACAAATTTAAAATAAAATTAAAGGTTTTTCTGCCCTGACTTTCCCAACCCAAATACCAGAACAAACCCCAATTTATTTTCATTCCCAGACATCCTATGTCTCTTTGTGTACTAAAACTTCCTCTCATTGTTAATACATAGGTACTGGAGGAACCTGTGGATAAATGGAAGAATGTTGGTGGCAAAAATCTCTTAGTGAGTTGATACTGTAATGTTGTTGATTCTGTCCATGCAGCCTATATGCTTTGTGCTAGTTTTACAGTAGTGCATATGTTTTTTTGTCCTTTTATGGGCAATAACAACATCTCTGCAGGACTGATGGAAAAGATTTTCAGTCTTTGCCCCTAATCCTAGATTTAGTTGTTTCACACAGTACTCATTGTTGTTTGATTTTTGAGTATTTCTATTTGCTTGGTGTTTATCCCCTACTTTAGCCTATGATGTAAGTTTTATAAACATTTTCCCTTAAAGTTTTCCTTGCTCTCTTGTTGTAAAGGAGTTGTTTTACACTGACTGTCAAAGGTGGAGCTACCTATTTGAATCTTATGCAGTTCTTAGCCTCATGAAAATTCACAAAAAACCACATGTGAGTAAAAGATACTTTAAATTTAAATATTTTGATTTCATAATTGTTGATTTAAATAAACACTCGAGGTGTACACTGTCCATGATGACCTTTAATATTTTAAGAATATCATAAAGTGATCATGTTTATTGAAGTGATATTAATTAGAAATTCAAAGAGACTCTTAAGTTGTATTTATCATAAAGAGTGCTTTTCAATTAGGCTTGTAAAACCAAATTAGTACCAGTAGAACAAAAATAAGCATTAAAAGGTGCCATTAAAACCTCAAAGTAAATACACACTAGCAGACTACTGGGATACAAATGGCTGAGTGGCTATCAGTTCTAGTTTGGCTTATGGCAACATGTAATTGAGAAGAAGTTAGAAATTTTGTTGTCTCATCCATCAGGTTACACCTGTGAAGATGATTGAAAGGAGTGTCTACAGTGGCTACTTCTGTTTTGAGCACAATCTTTGTAAAAGGTAATTGCATGTTTTAAGATTTTCCATAACTTCTTGAGACTCAATCTCTTTCACTGAATGCCTCGCTTTCCTTTCTGACCAACTGCATCTCCATGAACACCAGTCATTCTGAAAGAGGGCAATGTTGATAAACATTATCTCAAAATGTGTGTCTTTCATTTTTACAGTGGAATGATGTCCAAAGTAGAACACTCTGTCCATAATGAGTGGTTCAACTGGATAACAAAGCAACAGCAACCTCACCTAGATTTAATCAGTAAGTTGTTTCAATTTCAATAAAATAGCAACGAGAAAAATAATCCAAAGACATTCATTCCATAATTACGATGATCATCACAACTACCAATTCTCTTCTGTTTTAAAGTAAACAATAATGTGATTTCAATATGAGTGGTTTGTCTCAAATAATCTCACTGTAAATTTTTGCCTTTAGTTTACCTAAAGACATCTCCTGAAACCTGCATGGAAAGGATAAAAGCAAGGAATCGAAGTGAGGAAAAGACAATCCCCATGGTAGGTTACATATGTGTGTTGTATCTTGTTTTGAAGATTGTTGTATTTCAAAAACATTATATGGTACAAAATGCCACCTAAAATTCATAGTTATGTGCATGTAGTTTATTTGTTTCTTATTGTACTACTTCCACCTTTAAAATGCTCTGGGTAGAAGAGGATTGTCACTTTTGGGGAAAGGTGGCTTGATCTTTTGTTTGATGAATCAATACAACCTCAATTTTCCTATTTATGATTAATAAATTGTTATATATAAATTATATTGAGCAAGTTTCCTGTGTAGGTTGACAACGACTTTCGTTTTTGAAAATTTAAAAAATTCAGGAATATGCTAACTGTCATGTGCTCTAATTGAATCTTACTTTTTGTGTCCTCTTCTTTTTGTGTACAGGAACTCCTAAATGCATTACATGAAAGACACGAGGAATGGCTAATTCAAGGAAAATTTCCAGTTCCTGCTCCAGTTATGGTGAATACATTAGTATTTGCTAATGCAAATGTAGATGCCTTGATTTGTTACTGAAACTAAAGTATCAGAGAAGGATATCTGAGAGCTACGGAATTCAAAGTTAGAGCAAAAAAAACTGTGATTAAGTGACAGCTGGTTTCAGTTTGCATCGCATAAGATTAGAAGTAGAACATACAGTAGTAAAACAAATGTAATGCAATCCCATATTTCTTTGGATACAAACAGATAAAGTAACATTTTAGGTACTTAGAACCTCAGTGTTTCATGTATGAGCATTGTTTGTATACTTGTAACTGTATCTCAAAAACCTTCTTGCAATTCTTGCTTTTGCCTGATATACACTTCTTTGAAAATAATTAGTAGTCATTATGCAAGAGAATTTAGTTTTTCATCAAGATCACAATCTTGGAGTGGTTGTTTTTAGGTTGTTATCACCCATATCTTGCCTGATGTGTTGAAAGTTTTGGGAATTTAAAAGGTTCTGAATGTTATTTTCAGGTTGTAGATGGAAACAGAGACCTTGAAGAGATGATAACATTCTACAAGAAAAATGATCAGTACATTCTTGGAATGAAACAATGGCCACAGTTACACACTTTACAACAACCTGTGTGTTAAGGGACAAGAAAACTTGAGAGAGAATGTAATATGAATTGAGGTCAAATAGGTTTCAGCCAAACTATACTTTGGCACAGAGCACTCATTATTTGTGATAAACACCAAAACTAACCTATGGCTGTTGCTTCTCCTGTCCTAAATATTTCTGAAAAACACTGTAGGGCACACATTGTACAGCAAGGTACTATTTTACATAGTTTAAAAAGATCAAATTTCATCAAGCATTGCATTTTATTGAGTATTTTGAGGTTAACCATCTGTTACGTGTAGGTGTACAAGTAATATTTGTAATTTTTTGAGGGGCTTTCTTATTCATTCCACATTTTAAGCATCCGCTGTGTTTTTCAATTTCTATTGTTAGTAGATTTTCAAAGATTGTATCTGCTTTTAACCTGTACAGTAACTTTGTTTCACCCTAATAGTAATGGTCAGGGCTTGCCCCTAACAGTAGCCACCTAGCCACAGACTTGTAGAAATTCAATTTTGGCTAGTGGTTTCCGATTTCCACCGGCCAGTTTGGCAAGTAAACAAACTGAAATTGTTGTAACATCTAAGATATCACTAGCCACTTGGCCAGTAAGTTGAAAAGTTAGTGTTGAGCCCTGATGGTGCAGCCCCCTTGTGTGAAAGACCTCTAACCAGGGTGTAAAATTAACTTTTTTTTCCGGTAGCCACTTGGTTCCTAAATATTTTGAAGTGGTAGCCAATTCCAAAAAGTTTGTGGCCATTATAACACACACACACACACACAAAATTTTACCCTGTCACTAGATAGATTGTCATATCAGTGATTCAGTCATGCAAACATCAAAAATGAGCTCGCTAATTCGCACGAGCTACTAAGAGGACACTAGAATGGATCATATACAACAGTATAAGTTACCTTAATCCAATATGGG